GGCTACTTGGAAGGCTGAGGCGGAAGGATCGCCGGAGCCCAGCAGGTCGAGGCTGCGGTGGCCGGGAGCGGCCACTGCACTCCAGTCTGAGCAACAGAGTGAGACTCCAACTCAAAAAAATAAAGTAAAATAAAAAATAAATTATAGACTCAGTCACTTTAAATAATATTCATTTTGATCAAAGCCATGTCCTCCCAATATGTTTTTAAATTACACTAAATAATGCGTCTATGTATTATAAAAGTAAGATAGCTATAATCTAGAACAGATTATATACTGTAATGATAAGGATACATTACATATGTGGACTTTTCTATATATTGTTAGCATCCCTCAATATTTTTAAAAAATACTTTGCCAGTATTTGAGACACTTTTTAAATGGATATCATCATCAAAGGATAAGCAAAGATGTGCACATGAGAATGTCCATTTAAGAATTATTTATGATGACTAAAATTAGTAAACTGCCATACCGTTAACAGTTGAAAAATATATAGTAGATTCAAAAGTTACCATGATAGACTTTAAAAAACAAAACTACTTATAATATTGCAATAAATTATGATCCTATTTTATATATAAGGTAGCTAAATATTGAAAGCATACAACCCAAAATATTGTCACTGACTCTGAATGGTATAATAATAGATTTTATTTTAATCTGTTTCTTGTATATTTTCTAAACATTTCAGAATGAACTGATCTTAATCTTTAATATGAAAAACACCATGGTTTTACCTAAAGAATGATGGTAACTTTTAATTAGTAGCAGATATTATATCAGTTATAGCTAACTTTTTACCATGCTAATGCCATACAGCTTAGAGCTCAGAGTGCCATGAAGTGTACATACCAGAAGGGATTATTTTTCTTCAAGGATATTTTCTTGTCAATAGGATTAGGGCATTATCATGTTCGGGTTATGACTTTATAAATCGTCTTTAAAATAAAAATTCACTCCAGGGATCAAATAGAGATGGTTAAGTTTCCATACATTTGTTCCCTAAAATTTCTTATTTCCTTTCTTTTTCCTTTTTGGTTTTTCAGTAATTGCTATTAATGACTTAAATTGGCAAACGACAGCGATGTTCCGCCCCTTTGTGGAAGTTTGCATGCTGGGACCCAACCTCGGAGATAAGAAGAGAAAACAAGGCACAAAAACAAAAAGCAACACATGGTCACCAAAGTACAATGAAACATTTCAGTTGTAAGTCATAAATCAACTTATTTATTCAATCGGGCAATAGCCATTGCATAGCTGAACTTTTTGAAGGATTCAGAGTGAGAATGGCTAAGTAAAGCAAAACCTTTCATTTAAGTATTCCTGTTAATTGCTGATCCCTAGAAAATGAAGGCTATGTGTTGAGTTCCCTTCTATTCCCTCAATGTCTTTTTAGTGCCTACCATGCATCAGACAATGTTCCACGTACTGGGTGTATATAATAGGTTTCTGTTCTTATGGAGGTTGTTTGCTAGGGATGAGAAACATGATAAAATTACAAATAAAAATGTGCCATTGATATTAAGTACTATTCAAAAAACTAGTACTATATGCATAGAATTATGTGGTAAGTACCATGACTTGCTGCTTTGATTGGGTGGCCAGGGAAGCCACTCTGAGCATGTAACTTTCAAGTTAAAACCGTAAAAAAATAACCAGTCATGCAGGAAAAAGGAGAGCATTTCAGACCAAGTGAAATAGCTAGTATAAAAAGTATAAGGCAGAAACAAGCTTGGTATATTTAAGAAACAGTATATCAGGGGTAAAGGAGTGAGCTCCAATTGGTTTGGAAAGGTGGCCAGGGTGCAGGTGCCACATCACACAGAAGATTGCAATTCTGAGTTTAGTGGGAAGTTCATTGAGAGGTTTTCAGATGAGAGGATGAACAATCTGATTTACATATTTTAATTATTATTCTGTTTTGTAAATGACAGCAAGACCAAATATATAAAGATAAATTAGAAGGCTATCACAATAATCCAGGCAAAGATAACAGTGACTAGTGATGAACCAGATGGTAGTGGGGAAATGGAAAGAAGCGGAAAAATTCTGGATATGTGTTGAGAGTAGATACTTGCCATAGACTGAGGTGGAACATAAAAGAGTATATTAGTTAAGTTCCCAAGAACATTCAATTTAGAATAACTTAAAATGGGTTTATTTACAAAGAAATTTACAAGGATGTGAGTGTAGAGGAATATAAGCAATAATATGACCTGGGGCTAGTAGTAGCCAGACCATTACCACTCCTATGCTTGAAGGAAGGAAAGGGAGAGCTATTAGTAAAATTAGAAAAGTAAAAACTTCATGAGAAATCAGCTACCTTAAGAAAAACAGACATTCCATGAATGGAGACAGCCTACTAAAGGCAGTTTCATGGGCAAGAATTCAGGAAAATAGTCTCTGATCTCATTCTCCTCACTTCAGATCTCCTGATGGAAATTGCTTTTGGTCAAAATCAACTGGAAGCCAGGGCACTGAGAAGCCCTATTGACAAAGTCCTTATAGATCAAAGTTCCATTGCAAAGTTCAAGGAGAAGGGTAGAGAGTGGATCCACATGGGGCAAATGGAAGATATCTAACACTGAATGAAATCAAGATGGTCCCTAGATTTTTGGCATAAGCTGTTGGGCAGATTTCCTGAGATGGAAGAATAAGGAGAGGAAATAGTATCAAGGATTTTGTTTGAAATCTATTAATTTGAGAGGCCAAATATGTAGTTAAATATAATTTGAGAGCTTTCTGAACATAGAATATAGATCTTATTTAATTCCATAAATGTAAATAATCTGACCTAGGGATGGAGGAATAAAGAAGATGGGAAATCCAGGACAAAGCTTTAGGAATTTGCACACATGCTAAAACAGTCCCTTTGTGGTTTGGTCTTTGGTTTGTTTTGTACTCTTGGTTTTCCACAGTCCTTTCAGAACTCTGTGCTCTGAATACTTTGCTCTTTTGCCACTCATTAAAACTTAACTGTCATACCATATTTATCAAAAGGGTTATAAGAGTTTAATCATATTAATAATCCCTTCTGATAAACTAGCTTACAATATTCTACCTATTTTCCAAATAACACAAAAGTTCTGAGTCAATTAAAATATCTTCTGAAAGGTTCTAGGAATTACTCAAATCATACAAAAGTTAACTATAACACTGTGAACTAGCAAGACCTCTATTCCTGGAAAAGCCAGTATTTTGATTCATTTTAATTCACAAGATCTAGCTTCCATCATATTTTGCTCTTCTATTCATGCTCACTAGGCTTCAATTTTCTTTCACATTATTTCAGATTTTCACTAACATAAGTACACAGTTTAGTTATTATTGCCACCCAGAAATTAAAGTTTGGCTCTGCAAAATGTTTCACCAAAGAATCACCCGGAAAAGGAAGGAATTTCTAAGCTTTTACTGCTAAGGAATAAGTGTGCATTCATTAGGAAGGCAAGAATATCTGACAATGAATTAAAGTGAGGAATGGAGGAAGACTGTTCCCAGAATATCACCACTTAGCCTTTTTCATTATGTTCACTTCTACACTGACAAGTTGTCTTAGAGTATCTTAGAGTATTTTTTTTAACAGATACACCCGAGCAGAATTTATTTATCTTATAGTTGTTTTTACCTCTATCTTTGCTTATTTTTTAGCTGAAATATACAGACACACAAAAAGTGATCACACATATACATCAGTAAATATTTAAAAATTTATAAATATTGTTGTAAGTATAGTCCCTATAAAATAACTCAATAAATAATAATAACATGTTAGATGGCTTCAGTGAGGTGCTATGTGATAATAAAATAATTAAGATAGACATGGACTAAAAAATACATCTGATTAGTAGGGGAGACTGTAACCAGGAAATGGTCTTGTATTTTTCAAAGCTTTGAGTATTATTAGTAGAGGCCATCCTTAGCCACACACTTGACAGGTCTAACTGTTGCAATAGGAAAGAATTGGCATTGAAGCACCAGGCTCTGCTGGAACTGATTTACTCTGGAGATTTGTATCCAATTTAGCATCTTGTAAATAGTGCTTGATAGTCTATGCAGTATATTCCCCAGAGAGATGCCTAGATGTAATAGCTTATCCAGGATTCTGAGGTAAAGAAAAGCAATTGTAGTAACTGATGTTGAAATGGCACAGAAATTCTTCCAAGAGATACCCCTCACCCTGGCCCAGCAAATCCCATTCTACCCACAATTTTAATATCAATGAGGAGGTCCTGCCTCCAGTGCAACATATTTCATTCCCATTTACATTAATATGTTTAATATCAAGGAAGTAAAGCATATTTTTTTCTATCCGAGGAAAGAAACCATTTTAAAGTTAGATTTCCCAATAGTATCTATGTAAGGACAATCTAAGTAATTGTTTGAGGAATACGTGCATCAGATGAAAATACAATGATACTCTATTTGCCAACATAATATTCTGATCAGTGTATACAATTTTCAACAGTATTTTAGAACTATATTGTCTCTAAATAAAGTTTTTGCTCAAAATTTGTATTTTTAATCCATACAGCCTTCTGGGTAAGGAAAATCGTCCAGGAGCCTATGAAATTCATCTCTCAGTTAAAGATTACTGTTTTGCCCGAGAAGATCGAATTATTGGAATGACAGTCATTCAACTACGGAATATAACAGAAAAGGGAAGCTATGGGGCATGGTACCCTCTTTTGAAAAATATCTCTATGGATGAAACTGGTTTGACTATTCTTAGAATACTCTCTCAGAGGACCAGCGATGATGTGGCTAAAGAATTTGTAAGACTTAAATCTGAAACAAGATCTACTGAAGAGAGTGCTTGAAATGAACACTACAATCTATGGACTGTGAGAATTTATAAACTATAATTGTTTGACTACTGCATGCATGTGCAAATACATGGGAATGTTTATTTCACTGCGTTTCAATGTTAGCCATTTCTCAAGTACAATGTCTACAAGGTATGTGAAAAACTTGCTGAACTTTTATACCAATCCTGGTCTTTGGAAAACAAATGTTCCATGAAGTGCCAAAAAATTATGATGTAAAGTAAAATATCAAGAATATCTTTTAAAATGTTTATTTCATCTCATTATCAATTTCACATTCTTTAAACATTCTGAAAAATAGTTTTTTGAGTTTGCCCATTCATTGCCATTATTAAATTAGTTTATGTTGCCCATAGATCAGGAAGCCTTTGTTTCTCAAATTCTGTTTTATTTAGACTGATCTCATCATAGATGTCTAACAAATACCCTTTTCTACCATAACTAGAAATGCAGTCACTTCTAGAAAGCATTTGTAATTTTATAGTTGCAGATATATTGTGATGATTTTTGCATACAAATTAAAATAGAAAAGGTGGGAAATATTTTCTGCTGATCAGTTTCCAACCTTTCTAAAATATCACTGTGAAGAAATGCTATTAAAGCAAACTTATATAAAGCAATGCTAAATAGAGTTTGTTAACAATGTTTGATATATTGACAAAACTTTGTTCTTTAAAACTGCCAAGGTCACATCACATTTGTAAAAAAGGTAAGTTGATGCACTTGTCATATAGCATTATGTCTCGGCTTTACTATATTTTATTCTTCAAAAAGTCATAGGATTAATGGTTTAGAAATGGGACGGAAGGTTCATTAAAATTACCTATGATAAGTAACTGTGTTGTTAGTATCTCCCCTCTGACAGTTATGACTACATCTTTATTTACTTAACTCTATAATCAGCTTAATGTTTTCTCTTCAAAAATATTCAATTATTTGTACTGTACTGAATGCAGCATTACAATATATTGCACTGGATCCAAAAATCATGTTTTCATTCATCTAGTGAAAAAAAAAGGAAAATGAAATCCGAAGAAATTGCTTATAATTCTTTAATTTATTTTATTCATAAGTCCAAAATGCGTCAGATACAATAGAAGAACAACCTGATACCACTCAGTGCATAAAAAATATACCTACGTTGGTTTTGAATATAAAATAGTTTTGATTTGCATTTTATGTATTTTTATGGTTTGACATTTTGGAGTCTGTGCCTAAATATGTGGCTGTAGAGCAGTACCTTGTAATTATCACTTATGGTCATAACTGTTAGTGGATGACTTGCACATGCAGAAACAAGAACCTGTTACAATGGTTATGTTTTGTGAACAAACTGGTCTCATATGTTAAGAACAGAAGTATCATGAGTGTCAGAACAATTCTGCTTCTGGGTGTGAAACACAGACCAGTTAGACTGTCTACTTTGTGTTAAATTGTTACGCAATTGCTTTGTTGATGACTTCTCCAAATGCATAGTACAATGCAATCCTCTGGCATATGCATTAATAAATGGATGTTAATCGAGCACATGCAATACTGCATTGTATCTTCTGTCTTTTTATTTCTTTTATGCAGCATCATTTCATTATTTAAAAATAAAAAACTCCAGGCTCTTTCTACCGTGTAGAACAGTCTTCACATTGTTTGGTTCTAGCATCTCATTAAAATTTGAGATGTTAAAATTAACTGGAAAGGTGTTGTATTAATAGAAACCATTGCGGGTGGGGTGACAGTGAGGTGAGATTGGCAGTAGTGGGAATCTGCCTGGGGAAGCGGGGGGGCACACCTCATCAACAAGGGTACCTGCATAAAGAATATTTGTATACCTAACCCTGAATTGTACGCCACAATTTTAAAATAAAAAATTTAAAAGTTAAAAAAAAAAATAGAAACCACTATATGTTAGTTAAGATAACGACATTGAAAATAAGGAAGAACTAATGTATCTACCTACATGTTGCTGAATGCTGTTTGGCCCCATAAAGAATATTCAACATGCAACATTGTTATATAAAAACTTTATTTTTACATTTATTTTAGAGTTGTGGGGTACAAGTGAGGATTTGCTACAAAAGTAGGTTGCATGCAGGTGAAGTTGAGACTTCTAACTGGCCTTCTCTCCCCTTGGTAGTTTACCAGCTACCCCGTATTGCTACATGCCCACCTCCCTCCTTCCTCCTTTCCTCCCCTAGCAGTGCCCAGGGTTTGCTCACTCTTGTGCTAGTGTGACTAGCGTTCAGGGCCCACTTATGAGTGAGACCATGCAGTTGTTTGTTTCTGTGATAGTTCACTTAATATGATGGTCTCCGATTGCATCCAAGTTACTGCAAAGGGCATGATTTTGTTCTTCTTTATGACTGCATAGTATTCCATTGTGTATATGTAACACATTTTCTTTATCCAGTCCACTTTCAATGGGCACCTGGGTTGGTTCCACGTTTTTACTATTGTGAGTCTTTTTGGTAGAGCAGTGTATGTTACTCTGGCTATATTCCCAAGGGAGGGATTGCTGGATTATATGGAAGCTCAATTTTTAGTTTTTAGAAATTGCCACCTTGCTTTCCATAGAAGTTGACATTGTTTACATTTCCACAAATTGTGTAGAAGTATTTTCTTTTTTTCTGTAGCCATGTCACCATCTGTTGTCTTTTGACTTATTAATGATAGCCATCCTTACTGGTGTTTGGTGGTATTTCAGTGTAATTTTGATTTGCATTTCTCTGATGATTAGTGAGGCTAAGCATTTTTCATATGTTTGTTTGTTGCTTGTATGTCTTTCTTTGAGAAGTGTCTGTCCGTGTCCCTTGCCCATTTTTTAATGGGGTTGTTTGTTTGCTTGTTTGTTTTTTTCTTTCAATTCGTTTGAGTTCCTTGTAGATCTTGACTTGGAAGTATTTTTATCCCATTTTGTGGGTTGTCTCTTCACTCTCCTGATGGCTTATTTTACTATGCACAAGCTTTTCAGTATAAGGTTCCGTCTATCTCTCTTAGCTTTATTGCACTTGCTTTTGAGAACTTGGTCATGAGTTCATTGCTTACTCCGATGTCCAGAAGGGTGTTCCCTACATTTTCTTCTAAGATTTTTATGAAGTTGTACATTTAAGTCCTCCATCCATTTCGAATTGATTTTTACATATGGTGATAGATAGGGATCAAGTTTCATTGTCGTGCATGTGGCTAGCCTGTTTTCCCAGCACCAGGGGCTAAATATGGTTTCCTTTCCCCAGTGTTTGTTATTGATGGCTTTGTTGAAAATGAGTTTGGTTGAGGGACTGTGTTTTTATTTCTGGCATCTCTATCCTGTCCCACTGGTCTATATGTCTGTTCCTTTACCAGTGCTATGCTGTCTTGGTTTCTGTAGCCTTGTAATATAGTTTAAAATCTGGAAGTGATACCTCCAGCTTTTTTCTTTTTTACTGAGGATCACTTTGGCTATTTGTGCTCTTTTTTCTTCCATGTGAATTTCTCCATTGCCATTTCTAGGTCTGTGAAGAATGATTTTGGCAATTTCATGAGTACTGCCCTGAATCTGTAGATTACCTTGGGTAGATTAGATATCTTGACAATACTGATTTTTCTAATCCATGAGCATGGGATGTTTTTCTATTAGTATGTATCATCCTTGATTTCTTTGAGCAGCATTTTGTAGCTCTCACTGTAATGGTCTTTTACTTCTCTGGTTAGGTGGATGCCAAGGTATTTCATTTTTTTCTAGTTATTGTGAATGAGATTATGCTTTTTATTTCGTTCTCAGCCTGCGCTTGCTGTTAGTGTATAGAAATGCAACTGTCTTTTGCTTGTTGATTTTGTTTCAAGACTTTACCAAAGTCATTTATCAATGTGAGAAAGTTTTTGACCAACTCTCTGGGATTGTCTAGAAATAGAATTATACCATACACAAAGAGGGTTAATTTAACTTCCTCTGTTCCTATTTGAATACCACTGATTTCCTTCTTTTGCCTGATTGCTCTGTCTAGGACTTCCAGGACTACGTTGAATAGGAGGGGTGAGAGTGGGCATTTTTGTCTTGCTCCAGTTCTCAAGGGAAATGCTTTATGCTTCTGCCCATTAAGCATGATGTTGACTGCAGGTTTGTCATTGATGACTCATTGTTTTGAGGAATGTTCCTTTGATTTATAGGTGTTTGTGGGGTTTTTTTAATCAAGAAAGTGTGGATTTTATCAAATATTTTTCCTGCATCTAATGAGATAATCATGTGGTTCTTGGTTTCACACCTGTTAATGTGTTGAATTACATTTATGGTCTTGCAAATGTTGAACCAGTCTTACATCCTGGGAATGAAGCCTGCCTGGTCATGGTGGATGATCTTTGAAATGTGTTGTTGGTGTTAGAATTTGTTAGAATCTTACTGAGAATTTTTGCATCTATGTTCATCAGGAAAATTGACCTGCAATTCTTTTTCCTTATTGGATGTTTGCCAGTTTTGGATATCAGGATGATATTGGCTTCATAAAATGAACTAGAAAGAATTCCTTCTTTCTTGATTGCCTGGAATACTTTCTATAAGACTGGTATCAGCTATTCCTTGTATGTCTTGTAGAATTCAGCTGAGTAGCCATCTGGTCCAGGGCTTTGCCTTTTTTTTTTTTTTTTTTTTTTTTGGCTGGGAGGCTTCTCATAACTGAGTCAATTTCTTGTATTGTTTTCAGTCTGTTTAGGGTTTCAATTTCTTCTTGTTTTGGCTTTGATAGGTTGTGTGATGCCAGGAAAACCTCCATTTCCTCTTGGGTTTCTAGTTTATTTGCATACAAATGTTCACAGTAACCTCTGATAATCTTTTGAATTTCTTCAGGGTCAGTTGTGAAATTGCCTTTTTCACTTCTAACTGTGTTTATCTGGACTATCTTAATTTTTTTTTAGTCAATCTGATCAGGAGTCTGTCAATTCTTTTGAAGAACAAGGTTTTTGTCTTGTTAATCCTTTCTATAATATTTTCTTCTATATTCTGCAATTATGACTTTATCTTAGTAATCTGGATTTTTCTGCTGGTATTAGGACTTAATTGTTCTTGCCCTTCCAGTTCTCTTAAGTGTGACATCAGACTTTTTACTTGTGATTTCTCCATTTTCTTGATATGAGCATGCTATGAAGTACCCTCTCATCATTGCTTTCATGACATCCCAGAGATTTTGATACAAAATATCTTTGTTTTCACTTGTTTCCAGGAATCTTTTTATTTCTGTCTTCATTTCTGAATTGACCCCAAAATCATTCAGCAACATGTTGTTTAGTGTCCCTATATTTGAGTGTTTTGAGAGAATCTTGTTAGCAGTGATATTTATTTTTATTCCACTGTGATCTGAGAAGACGTTTGGAATTATTTCAACATTTTGAAATTTGTTTACACTCAATTTATGTCTAAGGATGTGTGATCAATTTTAGAGTATGCTCCTTGTGCTGATGAGTAGAATGTATACTCTGTAGTTGTTGGATGGAGTGTTCTGTACATGTCTATTAGATCCATTTGGTAGAGTGTTGAGTTAGGGTTCAGTTCTCCTTGTTGGTTTTTTGACTTGATAATCTGTCTAGGGGCTATTAGTGGGGTATTGAAGTCTCCAGATGTGATTGTGTGGGTGTCTATGTCATCTCTTAGTTTACATAGCAATTGTTATATAAAACCAGGTGCTCTTGTGTTGGGTGTATATATATTTAAGATGATTATTTCTTGCTGATGAATTGACCTTTCATTATGTAGTGTCCCTCTGTGTTCTTTTAAACTTTTATTGGTTTAAAGTCTCTTTTGTCTTATATAAGAATGGCTACCCCTGCTTTTTTGTTGTTGTTGTTGTTCTCATTTTCCTGAGAGGCCATTTTCCAGCCTTTTATGTTGAGCCTGTGGGTATCTTTTGCAGTGTGATAGGTTTCCTGGAGGCAGCAGTATATTGGGTCATATTTCTTTATCCAGTTTGCTACTCTATCCTTTTTTAGTGGCATGTTCAGTCCATTCATGTTCAAGTTAATTATTCATATGTGAGAGCTTATCCCTGTCATAAGGCTCTTAAGGGGTTACTTTATGCATATATATATTCTTAAGTTATGTTGTTTTCTATCTATATAAGGTCTTGCTGTCCTAAGGCCTTTCAATATAGTTCAATATAGTTCACTCAGGGTGAGATGGGGAGTATTCACTTCTGCTCTACCAATCTTGCTAGGGAGCGTGATACATTCAAAGTGACTTTCTGCTGAAGAGTCTTCCCCATGATCAGACCAATCAGACTACTTTTCAACCCCCATTATGATCACTATATGAAACCAGGTGGTGGTATGGACTTCCTGGCTGCTGTTCACTGTTCATAGCCCAGAAACCTTCCCACTGGAAAACACTCTTGGTGCCTTTCATGTCCTTCCCTCCCCCATTCAAGTTTGCACTCAGCACCTGAGAAAAAGCAAATTCCCTGCCATGGAGGGACTTGTGCTTTGGGTGTATAAGGCTAGCAAGAGAATTTTTCTGATCTGGAGGGGGAGGTTGGCTCTCAGACACTGGTGACAGGCACTGAGTGAGTATAACCGGGA